CAGGCAGCCCAAGGATGCTTGTGGATTTAAGAAACAGGTCAGGCTTAGAGTCAAGGCTCAGGACTGAATGGACCTCCATTAGAAGTCAATTCAAAAGGAAAGAAGACACTCATCAGCTTACCCCACCCCGAATAACACTGCCTCAAATTCTTGGAAGGTGGGCCATTCCTACAGAAGTGATCAAAAAAGGGAAAGGAAATCAGAATTTATTCCCAGCTTTGTTTCTCAGAGTGGATCCAACTGTCTCCTGCTGAAGATTTATCAGATGCCCGTGCCTCTTGCTCTCACACAGCCATGCACAACTCAGTTGTCCTCTCTGTAAAATGGGAATGGAAGTCATCGTTGCAAACATGAGAACTGAGGACCACAAACTTACCGATCCTCTCATTTTCTCCATAGAAATAAAGGAAACGTAGATCCCTACACGTGATAGAGACACTGGGTGATAGGTAAGGATGCCAATCTTTTACACTCAGCAAAGGAAGGGATCAAAAATGATTTGAAGAAGTTGAAGCAGCGGGATCAGATACATCTTGCAATCATTTGCGGCCATTCCATATTTTACCTTTAAAGCTTTGATGCGAGTCATTGAACCACACTTCCGGAAAAGCCCTTCGATATGAAGGTGCGGCCGGAGGAGCTCACAGGCATCCACCAGAAATCTGAGATCAGGAACACAAAGCCGTAGTTATTAGATGAGTCTCCAAGACTGGCTGGAATGGGGCAAAGGAAGGGGAGGTGTGTTTTCACCCTAGCATTACTAATGGAAAGAAAGAGATGGTAGGGGAGCTCAGTCCAAGGCAGTCAGACGTGTTACACGCCATCCATCCTGGCTGAGTCCACCATTAGGCAACACCTTCATGTGTGAATTCCCCCTTGCAGATCCAGCACCCTTCCTATGACCTGGAAACCAATGTTTTGTTCTGTGGTCCACCCACACGTTCAGCTGTAAAGTCTAGATCAGTCCTTGCATGAATCAACCCAAAACCAGCAACCTCTTTTTCAGGGTTATTCTGTACTGATAGCCACCTGTTTGATTACCAGTACAATCCTTTTATTCAACTTTGAATAAAAAGGCATGAATGAATTTTCTTGCAAGAATTCATAGGAGACAGTAATGCTCCTTGCTTTCTTAGAGCATGGAGAAACGGCGTAACAACCTGTTATTGAATTATAGTTAAAAGATCCAAACGGTTCCCCTCCCTCAATTAATTGACAGGAAGAATTTTTATTTGGATTATCCTGGGCATATAGACAAGTGCACCCAAAATTACTCACTCTGGCACACCATCGACATGCTGGGAAGGACGCAGCAAGTGCAGTGGGACACCAAACAGCCCAGAGACCGGTAAAAGCCCAGTTTGATCCTTCTTCAACAAAGGAAAGAGCAATTAAATAGTCGAGCTGTTGCTTTGATAACTAGATTTCCTTCAGATTGTGTAATTCCTTTTCTTTTCATCTGCTGAAGTTTATAACCTAGCAAGTGGGAAAGTGCGGGGGAAATCCAAAATACTCCTTTGAGATTAGATATGAGCTGATTTTTAAAAAACAAACAAACTCTGATGCATGAAGAGAGTTGAATCCAAATCATTTCAAAGAATTATCCTTTGGATCAGTGTTTCCCAATGTTGGCAACTTTAACTCCTCAGCTGGCTGGGGACTTCTGGGAGTTGAAGTCCACACATCTTACAGAGTTTCCAGCATTGGGCAACACTGCTTTGGATGAACTCCTCTCTGCTGATGGGGGCCCTGGAAAAATTGCTCCATAAAAAAAGGTTTAGTGATGCAGTCTCAAAATATCCGCGAGGGTACCCCTTGGGGGAAAGTTGCTAAAAAATCTTTTAGCATCTTTAGCCTGTTTCATCTTGGACCATTTTGGCTGTCCAAGCCCTATCCGATTTACAGATTTTGCTCTCAGAGAAATCCAGCACAGCTAAACTCCCACAATGATCATAACAATGATCGCATTCATGCACAAAAACTTTAGCTGGACACCCCCAAATTGAAAAATGTGGATGAATAGCATGTTCACCAATATGGGGCAGGAAAACAAATCTCTGTTCAGGACCCATTATTGCATGCCAGGTACACTGCTACTGCAATTCTCAGTATCCCCGTTCAGTAACACCTCTGAAAGGAATAGGGAGGGATACACATATTTTTTGAGCTGCAGGATCAGACCTGTTTAGGATTGGGAATGGAACCCACCAGGGAATCCCTAGGCTGATGACTAAACTAGAATATAATTTAAAAAAAAAAATCTCAGAAGAAGACAATGTCGAACTACTGGCATATCTTATCCCTATCAAGAAAAACCACGTGGTAGTGTCCATGAAGTCACCAGACTCAAGATGGACTCCAAGGAATCCTTACCTTTAAACTCATTTTCTGAACCTTTTTTTTAACTCTTCAGATAAGGTCCTCCCCTGCCCCACTCACCTGCCTGGGGGTGGTCTCGCAAGGACAGACACAAATGCCAGTGCTGGCCAGGTAGGAGATGATGGCATGAGAGAATTCACTCGTTTTCTTCTCTGGACCCGACATGGTTCTTGCAAGACAGAATGCTACATTTCACATAAGGCAGTCCGTGTGGCTAAACCTCGTGTTCCTTTTCTGGCTCAGAAACACGCAAGACACTTTAGAGCAAGGTTGGAGGACAAGCCATGGAACGTGAGACAATTAAAAATACAAAACGTTGAAGGAAGCACCTAAATTACTCAGCTCAAATTTACAGTGCCTAAAACTGGGGTTTAGATAGTGCCTCTCTTCCAGAATAACAACAACCTCATTCAGTTTGCAACTAGGGCCAACAGAACCACATTCTTAATTTCTGGAGCAAAACTTTAAACCTTGTTCACTTCTGGTTTTCCACTTTCCCAAGATGCCGATCTGTTTTCCCACTTAGAAAGACCTCCAAACATCTTTTACTGGGAACCTTTTAAAAAAAGATTAATAATAATTGAAAAAAACCCAAATAGTCTCATCTTTAGGCCTATCTATACATTTCCAGATTTGATCTTCCCCTCCTTTAAAATATTCTCTCTTCTACTACACAGAAAGTTTAGCTTTCCCCCACCTATAGCTGTAAATACCCTGGGGAAGGAAGAAAACCAAAATACTTAGAAAGAAAAAAAAAAAAAAGCAATACTCCATTTATAAATTCCCTGCAGTAAGGAAAGAACATATTTAAAGGGGCACATCTCCTCAAAAGGAATGGAAATACAACATTGTGAATGGAAAATAAAACTAGCAAAGGCGATCCCCATTAGTTACAGGGATCCAGTGACATGCACTGAAGAGAAATCCGAATACCTGAATTCTGTTTTCTGGCGGGTTGGAGGATGATGAACGGAGGTGTAATAATCTATAACATAGGATCCATTGCAAAATGTCATTTCCCTAAGTAAATTTGTATTGGAAGGAAGGGACCTTTTTTTGTTGTTGTTTTTGTTAATTACTCTTAAATCTGATAGCACTAACTGGGTTGTAAAAAGACAAAACCAATTGATCCTATTCCTCCTCCTCCTCCTCCTCCTCCTCCGATTTTCGCACCTTCTTGTTCTGCAACCCTCAGCTGCTGAAGCTTCTCCTGGTTCAGAGGGAAGCATCCTCACCTGTTCAGGCATGCAGATCAAATAGCCATGGAAAACATACAGACCAATGGAAAGATGCTTGTTCCCAGTTTTCTGTGTTTGGCTCCCTTGTTCTGCTGTCTTATAATGTGGTCTGCTGAGTTTGGTTTAGTGTGTTTGTGAACCCAACCACTGTGGTTTTCCGCTCAGCGTGTTGGGTGTGAATGCTGAGAGCTGTTTGGTGCCTTGCCAAGCATCTCCCAGCTTGGCAAGGCACCAGGGGAAACTTTGGGGTAGAGGGGAGTAAAAAAATGTCAAGTTGATGCTCACTTTTACACAATGGAAGCCCTGATTTTTTTCATGCATGTCACGTGCACATAAATAAAAATGCAGGGTGCTGCCAGCTTCCCCCCCTCCCCACACCCATGCGAGAGACAGAATGGGGCAAGTTCCTCCCTCCGACCTGATTCCCTACAGGTGCAGCACCATTACCATCAAAAACAGACTGACTCAGATGGTGTGGCTTTGTAGCTTGTGCACATATGGAGAAACCCACTTGAGGAAAGTTGGGTTGTGATCAGGGAATTAAAGATCTTGATGGACAGTTTTTCGATTTTATTTTGGAACCTGGATCTACTGACCTTTTTCATCCTCCTGGCTCTTTAATGTGTCCATATGTTTTCATTAAGTCTTAGGTTGTAACGGAGCTATTTGAACTTAATTGTATTTTTGCTTTTTTCTTCTTTAGAAATCACTATTGTTGATTTGTTTTGTAGTTTTAGCTTTTTTTAAGCTAATTTTTTACATCCATAAATACATCGTCACCAGGGGAAAGCCTGACCTGGAACCAATCAGAATTGCAGTGAGAATTAAAAAGTTGCAATTCTGTTCCTGAGACAATAATACATAAGTTTGTCTTTTTTCCCTGACATCATCTGCTACATGACAGGCAACTGTTCAATAGATAGAGTTTTCCCACTGCAAATATTTGCAGAATTTATATCCTGACTCATTCTAGCAGCCGTTGACAGCTCGCACAAATATTAAAATAAAAATTCCTAAAAATGATCTGTTTAAAACATCAAATGTTCAAATAGACTTAAAAAAACAGTGACAAAGTTCTCTTGTTGAATTTGGCCTAATGGGCAAAGCTCAGTGCACAGGAATCTCTCCGATTAATAGTAGATTTAAAACACAATTTACTTCTATTTTTTTCCAGGCACGCCCGTATTTGTGTGTGTATGTGTGCACACACACGCACCACACACACATCCCATGTGTAACCCAGTTCCTTTTAACTACACATCAGCATAAAACCAACCAGTTCTTTTTGACTCAGCTGCCTTGCAGTCAGCCAGCATTTTTGCCACCCGACTTGTCTGTGCATCGCTTGCGCCAACAGAAACAGCGGCATTGGGCAGAGAAATTCCAGCTAGGAAAGCCAAGACTCACCCCACCTTAATGGTGACAATAAACTAAAGGGAAGGATCGTGGTGAGCTGGAAAAAACGATGATCCGCCGAGAGAGCAAGAGGTAAGCAGAACTTCTTGAGATCTTTCATCTCCTCTTAGTCACCGGGAATTTCTTGGTGCTTTCCAAGTTCCATGTCATTCTGAGTAAGGTGAACTCAATTATTTCCCCCACTTCTCCTCTTTTGCATTAATGTTGAAAAGGCGGAGTTGCCCTCCATACCCCTTTCTGTGATAGGAAGCAAATCTTTCGGATTTGGGAGAGGGACTGGGCTGATGGGCATCAGGATAGCTTTGGAGTGAGCTAGAAGCTTAAAGGGGGATGATTCTTCCTTCTTTTGTTCATATCTTGGAAAAAGCCTTCGATTTTTCTCCCTGGAACTACGCAGGAGCTCTGTTAGTGGAAAGAAAAGCAGCAGACCTATTTACAGAGCGGCTAGTTCTTACTTCTTGCCTGCCGCTCAGTGGCCTTATGGCTGGACACCTGCGGGTAAGTTTTTTTTCGACTTGGCAAAACTAACATGAAAAATGCCAGCTCTGAGTTGGAAGATGGGCAGCTGTCACATTTTGAAATGTTTTGATGGACGGGCAGCATCAGACCTATATATTCCAGTGCACAGGACTGTTTGAAGGATTAAAATGATCTTTGAATCTTGCAGTAGACCCACTTGCCCCAAATTTATCAGTACGCAATCTTAACAACTAAAATTGTGTCTGGAGCCTGTGATGGGCAATGTTTTCACTCAGGCAGACCACTTGGGAGATCAGGATGTTGGAACTTGTTCACTTCAGAGGAAACTTCTTAATGCATCTAGAAGATGTAGCATGCAACAAGACAGAGAATGGGAATGGGGGGGGCAGCAGGGTGGTGGAACAGGTCTTTCTTTGGGGCTGAGTGGGGACTTGGCAGAAATCCACACAATGCCTCTTTTCTTTGGTGAAAAGTTGGCATTCAAATCAGCCAGGCAACGTGAGACTGCAGGGTTTTTTAAGGCTGCTGGGGTATGAGCTCTTGAAACGGGCATTTGAGGAACTTGCACAAGATTATGGCACAGGATTGCAAACATTCAGCTTAGAGGTCTTATGTGGGCAATCAGCACAGCCTCTCCACAGTAAGCAGGGTCAAAATATCCAGGCTTCCTGCCCATTTGGGGGAGGAGGCAGTTAAGGGGCCTTAAGTCTTATAGGAGCTTAGCACCCCTTAGCATCTCCCAAATGGGTCATCACCCCACCTCCCTTTGGAGTATGGCTGCTGTGGCTCTTGAGCAGATTGGCGTGTGCTGTAGAAGATAAGATGCAACCACACTTACACACAAGAGCTGACAGAGGCATCAGCTGGATTATCTGCCGTAGCAACTTTTTGAAAGCTCAAGGTTTTCCACCTGATGGAAGGAGATTTTTTTTTTAAAAAAGGGATGCATGCTTGATTTAATGTTGTCTTCCTAAACTAATTTCAACATATCTTCATCCTTCTATTTTAGGGATGAAGGTTAAATTATAATCTTTGGTGCTCCATTCCTGATCTACAAGCATCTTTTATTTTGCTGACCAACTTGCAAAAACACAACACTCTTGCACGGGTCTACTTCTGCTGTTCAAGTTGAACAGCAATATTCAACTTGCTGTAAGGGGGAGTAGAGATTTTGTGAAGGAGGTCTGCTGTGCTCTGCCAGCTCCAGATCCTGCATGGCTAGATCAGACACTTGGTTTTGATTCAGTACGTTCAGCTGATCGGAGTTTAGGATAAGGGTGAAGCTTGGAGATGAGATACCAGATCAGAAGACAGACTGGCTGTCCACACAGAATGATCCTGAGATCAAAGCAAAGAGGCAGGCAGGGAGGACCTGATGTGATCTATGCACACAAGGAAGTTGGGCAAGGAGGAAAAGGTTCTTAAAGCACTTCCAGGTATTGCTGCAAGTTGGGTGGTTTACTTTCATATGCAAAGGAGTTGAATAGGGAACTGTCCTCTTAGATGCAGGCATGCGGAAACCCTTGGTGGTTCGCGTATTAGGAATGTTTGGATGGCACTAGATTTAGGGGGAGTGAGCTTCTTGGGAATTTTACCCTGAGATGTGGTGCTGGCTACCAGCTTGGCTGGCTTCAAAAAAGTCTTGGGCCAATTTGTGAAAGTGCTGGGGATCAACAGCTTTTAACTTTGATGGCCGTGGGACTACCTCTGAAGGCTATCTGGTGGGAGACTAATGGGCTTCCTTGGCAGTTGGTTGGCTACTGGGAGGACAGGTTGCTGGACTAGATGGGCCAGGGGTCTGATCCAGCAGAGCATTGCTTATGTTCCTATGTTTTAAGTCCTGACATAGTTGTTTTCACAAAATGGAGGTGAGCAGAGGCTTGTGCATTCACAGATAGGGTACCTAGTGGTTTTGGCCAGTCCTGATACAATGGTGTACCCAGATGCAAAGGAATGAAGTTGCTCCCTACCAACCCCACTAGGTTGGCTTCTAATCAGATGTGCCAACTTCATAGTGGAGGAGAAAGCATCAAACTAGCCATTTTTCTTGGTCTTGATGCCACACCATAGAAAAGGCTGATACTTGCCCAATGTTGAAACTTGCCCAACTTGATTTTGACATTCTGCAAGATTGGCTGCTGTAGTTTTAGTACACTTGATCTTAGCCAAAAGGCTGAGAAGTTATAACTGGTTATTGCTGTTTTAAAGGTCTTTATGTATGCACATATCGAAATGGAGATATTTTCCTCCCAGACTATTTTTTTCTGGATTAAAACTAGGGGCATTTTCAGTCTTATAATGAAATATCTTTACATTTTATATATATACACATTATGGTCCTTCATTTTATATTTAGACACTTTTAATTCTGGCTCCAGTTACCATTTTAAAATTCCCACAATGCCTTGAAGGGGCATTGGGGGACATCTGAAATGATGACTTATGTTCTACTGTTATAGAAAAGAACCTTCTTGACAAACCATGGTTACAGACACATGGAAGCAACCAGCCCAGGTTCCTGCATGCAATACCTCACTTCTACTGCTGGACCAGAGCTCTTTCTCTGCAAGCCCAGAGTAGAGACTCATAAAGGGACAAGTAGGCTCCACTGATGGGGATTTATTCTTCCACTGTGGTTCCAAATTCCAAAACTGCACTTCCACTGGATGCATCACAACTCCCCACTCAAGACATAGTAGGATAGGAAGGACAGCAAGTCCAGAACAGAACATCACACAGAACTGTCCTGCCCTGCCTAGTAACAAAAGCCAATCTCTTAGCTGCCAACAATTTGGCAATAGCTGGTTTAAACACAATCATAGCTGCAATTTTTTGGCTAGGGTTCTGTTCTCCTAGGTTTACAATCTTGTGTTCTTTGCCCTCTCAGTTGCTTTGGTTGCCACTGGTGGACACATGGGATGTGGCCAGAGATTCTGAAGTGAAATGCTCACTACCCTTGCCTCCTGGTCACAGTGGCAATAGATCACACCTGAAGCAGGAGTGCCAGGTTAGAGCTAGGCTGCCTCCGCTCTCTGCAGCCTCTCTCCAGTTCTGTCTCAGTATCTCAGAGAGATACACAGATGTACTGAGAGAGAGAAGTCCAGTGGTCTGTATGGGTCTTGCCAAGAAAGAGGGTGATTGGTCTGGCTTGTTCTCTTGGATGTCAGTGAGGTAGCCCAGAGCTGTTGCTTTTGCAGGAGATCACGAACTGAGGCTGCTGGTGGTATGGATTCTAGCACCTTACCAGGAGCCAGCAAAATCTACCGGCGGAAGAGCCGACGCCGTATGACCTGCCCCAGCCCCCGGGAGATCAACCAGGCTTTGGCCTGCATCACGCTGGGAGAACTGAATCGCTCCTGCACTCTGGATGAGCTGATTGAGAAATGCCTTCGCTCCTTTGGTAATGTGGCTGGGAGGATGATGTTGATGGACAGACCAAGTTTTGATCGGAGAGGGGGAGATCTTCCATAAGACTAGAGACTGGGCTGATTCTAGCGCAAATCATTCTGCAGGTAGTCCAGGTTACCATCCACAAAAGTTTTTTAGGTGCTCCTTTTCTCCCTGCAAGGACTCAGCTACAGGATGATAAGTGGAGGACCTAAAGGACCAGGTTAGGGACAGATCGTCAGGGAGAAAATCTATCTATGTGGTCGCTAAGAGTTGACACCAGCTTGATGACACATGATCAGTCAGTTTCTCCTTGCAGCGAAGTTGACTGCGTGGCCCTTAAAATGAGAATGGGGCCTGGCTGTCCAGTGAAGCCAAGCCAGTGTGGTCAATGAGGAAACTACAGCTTTAAAGCCAGAGAATGCGTAGTGACCTGTCACTTCTCGCCTTGTGAGGCTTCTTATTTCTTTGGCTAGAATATTTTCTTTGCCAGAGGGGTTCAGCTTCTTGTCTCCTACTCTTAAACTGGCTGGCAATGAAGGCAGCTTAAGAAATGTCATTCCTGATTTTCACCCCTTCTGGGCAGCCATGGTGCCTGGACTGTGGTTGGCAGGGTCCCTGTAGGGTGGATTCTTCTTTCCCCTCCCATCCATGCCAGGAAAGCAAGTGTCAAACACTTGCCATTGTGCAGGCAAGTCTTTTCAGGATGGAGTAAAAAAAAAAAAAGACTATACCAGTTGTATAGTTCTTCCCATCACTTGGGCTAGAAGGAGAAATGTGGCAGAACTCTGATCAATTTCACTGAGTTAGAAGAAAAAAGCAAAGGACCAGCATTTTGTCCTTCTGCTTCTGAACCCCTGACCCCCTTGGAAGGTCCAACCTTTCATGGCAGGCAGCCCAACACAAAATGACCCACAAAGGCAGAGAGCGGGGCCTGGGGATGCCCACCAGAGCGTATGCCTGCCAACTGGGAGGCATTTGTGTAAGAAGGAAGCGCAGCAGATGGAACAGACTGTCTTGCTTGCACCAACAGAGGGGGGGAAACACCACTTTTGTTGCAGAGCAAGAAAACTGCGAGACTGGTTGCCTTCCCAGCACCCAAGGGGCAGAATGAGGATGATGTCACTTTTTCCTGCCCCCCCAGAATGATAGGTGGCCCATCCTCACATTGAGGCAGGCAGGAAATGCAGATCAGCCTGGAGTTGAGTAAATCAATTATTTTGCCCCACATTAAGAAAAACAATTGACTTCATTAAACTTTGTGCATCAAAATGCACTCGAAAGAATGTCAACTGGTAGGGTCCAGAAAGAGAGACTTCTCTGCCATGGCCCCCACCCTATGGAATACTCTCCCCCCAGAGGTGAGGCAGGCCATAACTCTCTTGTCCTTCCGGAAAGCAGTCAAGACCTGACTCTGCCAACTGGCATGGGGCAAAAAAGGGGCAACCAACCATGGGGGTGGCTAGCACCTTGAAGATGCTCCCATATGTTAACATCTTACTGATCATCAACATCTTGGAAGATATTATTTGTGTATGTTTCGTTTTTATTCTATTTTTATTCTATTTTTTATTGTTTTTATTGTATTTTAATTAGCATTTATTGCTGTTTTATTGTGAACTGCTCAGAGTCAATTTTTTGTGAGATGGGCAGTATCTAAATTTGAAATATAAATAAATAAATAAATAAATAAAT